GCAGCGTCCGGCCCTGTGCCCGGTAAATCCGTCCGGCGAGTCCGAGTCCCGGACTCCGGGCCGGGCGTGTTAATAAATCCAGGTCGTTGACACTTTCGAGTGGCTCGACGAACTGAGTCCGAGTCGAGACGCCGGCCCCTTCTAATTAGTTTGCTTTTAGTTCGATTCTTCCACTCGTGCCGCGCGCCGCTTGGACGCAACGCCGCAACGCAGGAGGAATATCGGTTCCGTGTACCGAAATTCGGTTCATATGCATCAAGATAGAAGTCATACGAACCGAATAGTATAATATCACCGAAAAAAAAGTTTGGTCGTTTGAACCGAACGTTTGGTGTTCCGTATTATCCCAACTATTAAGGTTTTCTATCCGAAATTTCGGTTCGGCTAACTGAACTTCATCGGTATAGGGACCCAATAAAAGAAGTTCGGTCATATGAGCCAAAAGCTCAGTTTAACAAACCGAATAGTTGAGATGATGTCGTGACACCATTTTTCCAATAATTTTTGGCTGGAATCGGTATCGATCGAATCATGTCGATCTATTAATTCACGTTCCTACTTTTCGATCGATTTATGTCGATCGAATCCATACCCTCCGCTTCGTTAAGTCCATACCTTTCGCTTCAAAAAACTTCATTGGTCAAATTAACTCCATTTTGCAAATAGGAACCAAATTTCTGGCCAAATTTAAGAAAAACGCATGTACAGTCAGTCTCCTTGTGCACACAAGTCTTTTTGCAGATGAGCCAGAAATTGTGGTTCCAAACAGCAAAATGTGGTCAAAATGATCACCAATACATCACTGAGCAACGAGGGAGCCTACGCGTAAAAGTAGCTTCACTTGCATGCTTCTATTTAAAATTACATTGTGAAAATATGTAAATAAAGAGAAGAAAATTAGTTGGGTTTCATGTAATGTTTTACCATTTGAAATGAAAATAATCTAATAAACTGTACAAAAACATCAAAACCATAAGTTGAATATCGGTGACGCCGCAAGTTTGAATAATCCCGTCAACACAGTGCAGCCGTCGCGGCGCGGGGCTAGCGTGCACGGCGCGGAACGCATATTGGCGCCTTACAAGACCGCAGGATACTTCATGCATCGCGCGTACAGCAAGACGTCGCCTTTCAAGTCTGCAGGATACTTCATGCATTACGCGTATACCACGGTGCGCGCTCAAGTCGCAGGTAAGTTGTATTATGCCGAACGTACCCCGGTCCTGGTGTACACCATTTCCGAATAGCGCACACGAGCTTGCAATCCTAGGATCACAAGATCGTTAAGATTTTGCAATCCCGATGTTTCCCGGGACACCAAACGTACGGTTCATATGACCGAACTTTTTTTTAAAATGAGGTGCTTTTCGGTTCAAAAGACTAGACTCTCAGTAGGGGCAAAGCGGCCGCCTCAGTTCCCTGAACCAAAAATACTTTGATCGATATTGAGCATGTTCATGTTATAGATGTGTAAGTTGTTCATACAGAGAAATAGTGGAGGGATGGTATAATGTGTTCGTCACTTTCCTCCCAAATTCCGTTTAAGTTAACATGTTTCTAATGAAATCCTCTCTTTTTTTGTTCCAGGTAAGCAAGATTCTTTCCAAGAACGCAATTAGCCATTCCGTTTCATAGTTGTAAGTTGCTTCCTTGCCATATTTTGTTTGCGTGCAATTCACTTCCCTGCATGCGGTGCTTTAAACACAGCAATGAACCTCCAAAAATTCTGTTAACAAATTAATAACATCAAGTCCGAAATTAGTGTAATTCTTTTGACCTAGACTTACTAGTATTTGTGGTACAATAAACTGGGTATATAAGTAAATGAAATCAAATTGTGCCAGGAGGCATACGCAAACCCTATCAAATCCTTTTGATTTGATTCATTAATACGTTCATTTAATTCTAAGTCGCCTCTTATTCTACTCGGGCACCGCGTATACAAATGCACATTCTCAAGGACCCTCGATCGTATCCACCTTCAAACCGGAAGGTATGCACCCCGCCAAGCACGCGAAGACCACACTCACGTCGAGGGTGCGCGCAGCGCAACAGGCAATAAGTTAAAAGATTCCGACGCCCGATAAATTCTAATCATTTCATTTAAAAGCAATATCCGAAAAAAGGGACGACGATCCGAGAACCTCGCTCGCGGATTTACGCTATAAATTAGGCGCGTCCCTGCTTTTTTCCGGTCTCCGCGAAGGGGTGGTAAAAACCGCAACCCGACCTGCTTCTAAAAAGGCGTATGTCCGTTTTTAAAACGAGCCCCAAAACACTAACCCATCATGTAGTCAAGGGTGCATCTGTGGGTGGACATAATCCCTTTTAGAAACACGTTTGTTCGGAATAAAACAGATACAAGTCGGCGATATTAATAAAATATTTAGCGCGGATGCAGTTGTGTGATGAGGAATACGGCCCGCGGGATCGATAGTAAGTCAGGGCGGGAAACCTGAGCGACCTAACGAAGACGGATGGGGGCGGCTCCCGGCGACCCATAAACTTCCGCCGGCAATAACGCTGCATCATTGAGCAGCGCTGGCGACATTCCGGACGATTTTTAGACGATTCCGAGCCAAATTACTCCTAACAAGTGCCGCCGCGGTGAACAGAGTGGAGTGTCCCGCGAAAGTTATTGTCACTGCGGCGTCAAGTTCGTAGCGTCGCGTGAAGCTCACGTAAAAGTTTTGCGGTAGGGTGCTCGCGTGGCCTCGGGTTTTGCAGTTTGGCTAACTGAGGAAATACATGCTGTGAAAAGTGTGACTGTTCACAGGAAACGGGACCTTATTCCAAGTAAAATCAAAATTGAGTTATTGACACTAAGGGATATAGTCCTGGTCGATCCTTAAACAGCTCATTACCTAAGGGAGCCCTACGTAGTTTCACGGGGAAAAAGTGTTAGGGATTATCCCCTAAAATAAATTGTGGTTCCACCCAAATTTGTTGGATGATATGGACGTTTCAAATTAGTGGTGGTAGTGCGCCGCAACTCTAGTTGGGGTGTTATCGCAACATATGGGCCAATAATCTAATTTATTGGGGCACCACCGAAATTAGTTGGAAATTTCCATTTCATCCAACAACCTCTTGCTTTTTTTTGTGCTTACATTGTCATGAAGGAAGGCTCATAAAGAGATTCTTAACAAAGCATCGTGATTAGGGCAATTTTTGCCAACCTCGCGTAAACTTCAGCAGTATAATTTTGGAAATCGGTTCTAGAAAGAGATTACAATTACAATTATTTAAGACATTTCCATTCTCTGGGTGATACAAATATTTTAACTCCGCCGATGTGTGTGAAGTATCTCGAATTTTGAAGGCATTTTTGTGATTTGATGTTTTCATTGTTCGCGGTTGGAAAATCACACGACAAAGTGCGTGACTGAACCAGCTACTGAGTTATGAAATGATCACATTGCGAACTGCCGTTCACGGTTAATCCACGGTTGTACAGTCCATCTGCAGGAATTCTTTACTGAAAAAAAAGAAAGAAACAAATTCTTGCAACGAGTGAATCCGAAGTGCCTAAGCGATACAGATGAGTGAACGAAGATTAAGGGGTAAAGTCACGATAAGCAGCCCACAGCGCGAGCAGATGCATTTTTAAACGGAAAATGTTTAAAAATGTGGACCCAATCCAAGAAGAGTAAACAAGTGTGGGTAGTTCTTTCGAATGTGTAAAGTTAGACGAATGTAAAACTGAAGAGGACTCTACGTGTTAAGAATTAAACGGTATTAAAGAATTAGTATAAAGCTTGTTCTTGGAAACATTTTACTCACTACTTTTCAAACGAAAGACAAATCAACCTTTTTTACGAGGAGTTTACTAAAAGATAATGTCACCTCTATAGAGTGAATTGTTGAGTTCCATTCTTTTTTACATCATTCTGTGTGTAAGTGCGTAAAATTGTTAGAAACCAAATTTCGCAGAAATATGTCTGATTCCGGTAAAGTATGCAAATTGGCGCTCTATTAATGGAGCGGTACTTATCGGATATCACACCCACTGATAACGATGTTAGAATATTATATCACCTCGGGAATGTTTTATTCGTAAATGTCAGAGGTGGAGGCACGGCAAAATACTCCAATTTCACAGTTATTTGTCTATTAATGTAACACAACAAAATACCCACGTGTATCGAAGAAAAAAAAGGTGTAAAATACAAGTAATGAAAAAAATTCACGCTTTTCAAAACATTTTATACGATATGATAAGATGACGCAAGTCGGAGATCATCGACTTCTAACTGAAGAACACTTTCATCATATCTGGAAGTTCAAGACTATCAGTAAACCACATACTTCAACACGGAGAAAAAGTTAAGCACTGGTTGCCAGATTTCTCGACAGAACGCGATCTTCAAAAAAAAATTTTTTGACCGGTAATTATAATTGACGGTATTCTAGCTTGCTCAGGACGAACGCCGTATGAGCCTTTGTGTGCCACAAAATTTTCCAAGATTAAACCCTAATTTTACGGAAAAATTGTGAATGTTTTTCTTCCAATTTTGAGGAAATCGAATTCGCAATTTAATCTACAATACTTCAAAATGTCTTGGAAAATTCTCATAACTTTCCTCAAAATTTAAGATTTGATCAAGAGAAATTTGACGAAATTAAATATCCATTTGACGTTTTTCCGTAGAACGGCTGCAGTACTTTAACCAAACACCAGGGGTAATTCACTTGGTCGCTGCAATCATAAACACACCAATAAATGACGTTCTATGTAGATTATTTGCGGCGCTACATAGTTTACTCATAATTTTGTTAAAGACATTGAAATGCCTATAATCTTGCATATTCCATAAAAAAATGTTCAGAATTTCTTGCCGGAAGACTCTTAGATTGATCCACGAATAAATCAAGATTATTCGATAACTAAACTGGCAACTTCTACCGCACTTTTTTTCGCATACGAATTTCACGGAATGTCACAATATGAAACTAATCATTTCGCACGAAAGTTAGCGACGTCTGGGAATACTATCTTATCGGTTTGGCAGACGAAAATTCAGTAGTAAGTAGCGTCGTAACAAGAAAGCTCCAACACTAATATCGTGGGAAGCTCACCTACGATTTGGAGGTGAGTAAGTATTGCGGTGAACAAGTCATAACTGTGTTAAAGTGCTGATTGTCTTTAATTTAAAAAGTGAAGGTCATCATAAACATTGACGTAACTCAGAGTGCATGTGCATTGTAACGGTTTCTGACGTCAATCAGACTAATTTTTTTCCAATCGGTACGTACTAACCCATTGATTGTCTCGTTTTTCCATCAGCTTCGTAGGAGACATTTGTTTGATTTGATTTAGGGTGACTTTCCATGCGAATGCTAGTAGCATCTATTTTTCGTAAAATTATTTTTGGTTTTAAAAAATGTGGATCTGGTATTTTTGTTAACCTCGGAAAATCCACAGAAACATGGAAATATGATTGATGATGATTTTTCAGAGATGTTTGCCAGTCAAAAAGGTCATTTTTATTCCCATGCAAAACTACCAAAAGAATTGATAATACGAAGTGTATTTAAATCAGTGTTATCTGCACTAAACCATTGAAGAGTTTACAGTGAAGAAGAGGGAGTATGTATTCATTCAATGAAGATTATGAGACCAGTTATCCGCATGCGTCTTGATCGTGTTTTAAAAGTATTTTTCGTCAGTTTTTTTTTTCATTTTCTTTTTAAAATAATAATACAAAATTGTTTAAAAGTGCTGAACTCAGACCCTCTAATCGGTGGCTGCAGTTTTTTTGGAAATTGCACAAAAAACCTATTTTACTTTGTAATAAACTAATTCTCTTCTTTTTCTCAAAATCGTTTTCTATTGACGACGCCATAATAAGTCATTGAATTAATTTATACAGCACTCGTCTAACTGTATTGTACTTTGCTTAACTTCCTCTCTTATTTAATTTTTTAATAGAAAACTAAACAACAAACCGCCTTAAAACATTCCCTGAATTTTTCTCAGATCACGAAGAATATACCCAAAAAATGTCAAGTCAGAATGCTGCTGCATTTGCCGACAATATTATCAAATATGAGAAGAAATTAGGTTATTTCTGGTTTAGTTAGCCTATTTCTGATTAGATGTGTCTACTTGTGTTTATATACTCCGTATAGTATCCCTCATTGCAACGTTTCTATCCTTATTCCAGGGTGTCAAACTTAGACCATACAGAATACGCTACACCCTCTCAATTCGTTCTCAACAGATTTCAGTTCAGAGGACTGATTGCAATCGAAGATCACCCTCAAGAATAATCGAGCCAATTCCGTTTTCGAACAAAATACTCCTTGTTCAACCTCGATAATGCCTCTCGTGGACTTCAGGAAAGACGGCCCGGGCTATGCGAATTGGTACTCTCGCGTGAACCCGTCCGAAGGGACCCAGTTCCTGTCGTTCCGTGACGTTCCAGGGCTGATAGAAAAACACGTGAAAGGAACCACGACGTTGGACTACGGCTGCGGGGCGGCAAAATCGGCGATGTCGTTGAAAGCGCTCGGACTGCACGTCGATGGGGTTGACGTCAACGAGGAGATGATCAAACTGGCTAAGGAGCGGGACCCTGCTGGGGATTACAGACTGATCAAGGGTGGTGAGATACCCGTGGGAGACAACCACTACGATTTGGTCTTCTCGCGGTGGGTTCTCATCGAGATCGGTAGCAAGGAGGAACTCCTCAAGACGATGCGGGAATTTGCGAGGGTGATGAAAGCTGAGGGTACGAGTATATTGGTCGTGCTCAGCGAGGATTACTTCAGGTAAGAGGGATGTGCAGTTTTAATGTGCGTGAAGTTTGACCAACTCAGCCGTGATAGCGAAGAGAGCGTTTGTTGAAGACATGAAGTTTTAAGGAAGTGGGCTCAGAAGCGTCAGAGCGGAAAACTTTTGTAGAGAGAAGTCTCTGTCTTTTGAAACCTTGGAAAATTCAGGAAATGTTACCTCTAAGTCTAAAAATTTCGGGAAACTCGCCACGGAGTCTTGTCACTTTCGACTGAATGTTTGATTATTTTGTATCGCACCATTGCTTTCAAGATCTCGAATTTTGTATTTTTTCAACTCCAAGAGACTTTGCTCTATAAATGTTTTGAATGAAGCGTCTTCATGAGAGATTATGGAAAGAAGCAACACTTAAAAGTCATGCACTCAGAACTTAAGTTTGAATACAGATGCTGAACTTCAGCTCATATTGTTTATTGATTGTGTAGTTTTTCGATTCTGGTCACCAAAGTTTTCGGTCAAATGTACCCAATTCCGGGAAATTAAATCAAAGTTCAGTCTCTGTAACCGGAAACGTTCGTTACCTGAACCGATAAACTTTGGTGTTCAATTTTAACCGTACCATAGGGAATTTTGAAAGCCAAGAAAACTTTCCACCCTGCTTTTTGAGTTTCTCACACCCTTCACCCTTCTTATATCCAGAGCGAACTGGCTGACGGCTCACTGTCTGCACGACGACAATGTCCTGGAGAGCGGGGGGTCTGTGAAGGTGCACTTCCCGCAAACGGATTTGACCGTGTACTGTCATTTTTGGAAGGACGAGGATTACCAGGAGGTCATTAAAGGCGCCGGACTCAGGGTCGTAGAGAAGATCAACCCCCTCGGAAGGGATGAAGACGGGATTCCGTGGAAGACGGAGAGGACCATGTCGCCCTATTCCATTTATGTTGTTAAGAAAGCGAACAGCTAGTCATAGTAAATAAGTAAACCGAGGAAGAGAATTGACCAAAGAAAGGACCGAGTTTCGCAAGAAGGAACTAACTTTTTGGCTCATTTCAGAAACAATATATCTGTTTAAGATCCTCAATTTCTCCTCACATTCTTTTCAAAATGTCTTAAAGCCATGGCTCCTTCTTACTAAACTGAATCCGGATAAGGTCTGTGCTTAAGCACTGCGTGTTCATGGTTTCTCTTCCACATTTTACCTCTGAAACGATTCGCGCGAGAGGCAGCTTGTAAAGCAAATCTCGGACGAAATATGAATTGTTGAGATAAGCGTTGATTCAATGAGATACACATGACGTCGATTGTATACCACCGTGTAATGATCGCAATGTATAACTTGGCATTACATGGCGTTACTAGAGGAAAACATGCACCTCGATCTCTTGTGATCTCTAATATAAAATTTTCATGATACGATCTCTATGTAAGAGTCAAAATAAAAATAAAAAATTTCTACAAAGCGTGTTCAATTATTTATTTGAAGAAGGAAGGAGGGGTTGAAGATTCCCCATTCTGTCAATTGCAAGAGTGTGAAATCAAGCTGGTGCTGTTTTACAATGCAAAAGTCTCTAAACTTTTCTGTGAATTAGGACAAAATAATCTACAATTTTGCGTTGAAAAATCTTATAATTGAAACAAGGGTTTCGACAGGTTTTGCTAAATTCCTATGAGTTTTTTTTTTTCTTTTTTTTAAATATTCTTTTGTTTCTGATGAATTAATCGTGGAAAAAGATGATGCTAAAACAAGATACACGCGTGTATTGGTTTTCGACGGCATGGAAACCTAGTGATATTTTAGATCACGAGGATTGTGATGTTTGTAGATGACCGATCTTCGTTAACGCACAAAATGTCGTATAAGTTTTTCCGTGCTTTTTCATTTATATTCTATGAGAATTTCATGAAATAACATCAAGCGATGACCGTCCTTTGAAAAATGCTATGAGTGTGAATGGGTGTATTAGAAAACACCTCAATTTTCCGCCTCTCTGGCGTAAGGGCATATCTCAGTTTCTACGTGAGCTCTGTTTTACATGTAAATCCAGGCTTTCTGGGGCTCATGCGCAAATCGAGATACGACCTTACGCCAGAGGAGCGACGAATTGAAGTATACGTAAGGTGTTTTCCTGGTTTTATCCTTATGGTTTAATAAGTCATCTAATCTTAACACATAACACTAGGTATATCATGAGGCATCCCATCGAAATTGTCTCTTCAACGAAAATATTTACTGCAAATTTCACGACTGAATTTTCTGCAGCGAGAAATTAACTCGTCTTTAGTTAACTCCGCTCAAGTGGGCACCGAAGAGCGCCGATGAGCAGTTCTAATAACGCGAAAGAAGATTGCAACGTGAAATAATTATAATCTCGGACTTAAATGCATATTGAGTCTGGAACGAAATTACTCCGATCCCGCGGTAGGTGCTGAAATTAAGAGGGATGCGAGCGCATTATAAAAACGCCGAGGTTTTCGATCGGAGCATATGGACGAAATTGAAGTGTCCGCTTGAGATTAAACCATGAGAGAGTCGGATTAAAGTAGTTTTCGTGCGGTTAGAACTATCCGTAATTAATTTCAACAGTGGTCTCTGGCCTAGCTTTCATAAGTTTTCCATGGTAATAAGAATGCTCGACTTAATAACTGAATTCGAGAGGCACTCGGGCTGAGGGGTCAATTTGCCTCCCTCCCACTTTCCCCACCCAAGAAATCTACCGTTGGAGGATGATGGAGCACAATCATGCTTTTCATTTTTTTGAAATTAATTTTGATTTGAAGCAGGGCATTTCACCACCTCTCAGAATTGCTTTTCTTAGGCTATAATGTGGTTTAGAATTACTCCCCTCGGCCTCTGCCACCCCCTTCTCGCTAAAATTTCTCACAATTCATTGAAAAATGAAACTTCCAGGTTCGAAATTATTAAGAATCCGTTTTTCCTAATTATTTTCTTTCTTTCCAAAAAAATGGTTGATACTGTATGAACAATTTAAATGAACTATACATCAATTCAACTTTGTCTATTATGATAATACTTAGTACTAGTGATAGTCTTTGTCAGCTTTAGAATACTTTCTTAGCCGAACAGTACCTTCTGATTAGTGTACATAAATTGTGAAACGAATGACAGTAACATAAAAATAAGGATTATTCAATCCTTGACACTGTTTGTTCTATGAGTAGAGTACCAAATGATCAATACAAGCATGAAAGGGAAATGCTAAGATGTATCCTTTCGTTTATAGTATGTGTCGTGAGTTAAAATTTAAATAATTAAAATAGAAAAAATTTAAAAAATGTCATGGATCTTTCAAAGCTGCAAAGAAGCCAGTTCAAGCCGTCAACAGCTTGACCATATTCAATCTCTAAATTGGCCCTATTAAATGTGGTATTTTACCACAAATACATAGTTCGATCTCTTAAAGTGCATCCACACCGGAATTTAACAAACAATGAGATATCGAATGCATTTTGCTAAAATTAAGGGATCCTTTTATACATAGGTATATTTTCACCAAAAATCGGACAGATTTCGCCTATAGGCACATTTCAGTTCCTTATTCCCAGAGAATCTATTTAGTTAAGCTGAACATAAAGCTTAAAGTGTGCGAACGCGAAATATGCATTTGCTATTAATCAAACCAAATGGGTGATTTTTGCGTTCAGCTTCCAGCTTCCAGACTTCCAGCTTCAAGTCAAGTTTTACAAACGAAACTTTCTGGAACTAAGCAAGCGAAGTGTGTTTCCCTGCGTAGTGGATCCTTTCTACCAAGAATTTAAAGCAAAATTCGTTCGATTCCTCTATATTTGCTTCCTTCCGCCATCGATTAATCTTAATGGGAAAAACACCACTATTATTAGTTTTGTGCACTATTTAAAAAGACTTAGTATCACCATACTGTTACCAGCACGGCTGCGAATGTCATATTTTTTTGTGATGGTGCAGCAGTTCCAAATACCCGCGCAGATACATGACTATGTGCGCGAGCGCATGGTGTTCATTTGACCGCCATTTCGGTGTTGCCAGCTGCGCGCGCAGGCTGTAATTACGTCACTCGAGGCGCACAATTACGAAGAGCCGAGGAGGCTGAGACCTAACGAAATGGGCGGCGATCTCCGCTCGGAGTAAATCACAAAGCGCACTTTGATTCGGCTTTCCAGCGAAATGGTTAAATTGCAGCGTAACGCTCCGCGGCCACGTTGTCACGAAGCAGAAAAATCGGATTTTCCTTCCGTAAATCAAAGATCTTCAGGGAGATCAAAGAGCCTTCAGGGGGTGTTAAGTGAGATGAGGGAGTGTCAACTCCCTGATAACCTGTGGGAAGACCGAGCTTTGTGGCGATTAGGCGTCGCAAAGCGCCAAAGAGCGCTATAACAGCGACTCGTATGTATGTAAATCAAAGATCTTCGGCAAATCACGCAAGAACGAGTAATCCTGCAATTCGGTGGTTATGCAATTTTAGGTACTCAGAAGTCGAAATAGTCGTATCACGTGGACTGGACGCCGCGTTGTCTTTTTTTTTACTTTCCATGACTGTCTCCGGTTAAGCACAAATGCTGTAATCGACGTTTATGTTAGGAAAGGTGATTTTAGGCTGTAAATTTGTACTTCCTTTTGAATTTAGAAACCACAATTTTTTTAAAAGAAATTGGTTCAAAAAGATCAGTTGTTTTTAAAAAACTAACAAAAATGGGGGAAAAACCACTTTTCCAGTCCGAATTAACCGCCAAAACACGGGTTTTTGGCATTTGCGGACAGAACGGTAAAGCCCACTTTTTCGAAATCAAGTTTCTCTAAAAATCCGACCGAGCTAATATAAATGAGCTGATAGATTCGACTAAAACAGCAAAATGTGTTTACTTCCGTTCTACGTGGCTATGACTCTTTTTTTATAAAAGATTAGGTGAAATACGGCAATTTTTGGTCATCCGAACAATTTTTAAGAGAACAATTTCCAAGAATCCTCTAGATGATTAATGATAATTTTACGTATAATGGAGGATTTATTGACAATTTTTAGGCTTACTGCTCTTTTCTGTAACACTGCACCATTGCAGGCCCAATTTAGCAACACCGTGGATATGCAGGGAGGGAAGAGCTGTGCCGCATGGAGAATTGCTTTTTATTTATCGACACCGACTCGCTCTATACGTAGGCTACGATCCCTGTAGTTGAGTGAGTATCGCATGTAATTTTCCGATCAGGGCTGCCACTTAGGCGAATTCGCATGAAAACTATCCACTACGGCCGTGGAATTTTTCGCTGTAAGCTGGCAAGCATGGAACGTCGCGTTTCGCTGAGATTGATTTCGAGCCTTGGGTGAAATCAGGGCGACATTGCAGATCGATCCTGCGATCTGATTGGATAGCCCGTCGTTAAAGCTTGGGCCAGGACCCCCAGGATTCCCCTTCCCCTCATTATTGCAGACATTATTTTTCACCATTTCCCGTCAAGTATTTTATGAAGCTGGATATTTTCTGACTACATTTTAAGGGGCTGAATAAAGGTAAATAAAGTTCGGACGATGGCGGCAGCTCTGATCACCATTATGATTGGAAATGGTCGCAAATCCCAACCCAGGTTTTGAATTTTTAGTATGGGTTACGGGACGTTAGTGGGTTAGAGGGAATAAACGGTACAGTATCGGCGATACCTTTTTTTTCAAGCAGATTGAGGCTTTTTCGTCGATGTTGTTACCACAGCACTTCATCCCTAGGTTTTGTCACACCTCAATACACTGGAAATTCCTAAACAGTGTTAAAAGGTTTTTTGGATGACAAGTGTTAACATGCATCATTCCATCACAAAATAGTTTGAAATCATTGTGAATCTTGGGTGGCAAGTCATTTTTCCTAAAACATTTTTTCCCACTGCAATTTTTCCTAATACTTTTTTCCTACTCGTTTTTTGTCCCATCACAGTTAGTCCTACGAGTGAGATGTCCTACTGGCTTTTTTTCCTAGGGGCATTTGTCCTAAATTCAATTTTAAAACTAGGGGATCGAGGAGGTAAAAAAAACAACATAGGTACCTCACAAGTTTAACTTGTGGCCGCATGCCCGTAAGTAGTGGAGCTTCATCCTTCTCCTTATAATGAGGATATAGAAGGCTCAGCTTCTGATGTCTCCTGTTCACGCGCTTATATTCGGCTCGCTGAGAAAACTTTACTCTTTCTGAAAAATTTCCCTCTACTCTACTCATGTGTACGTTTCAATTATTATTGGATTATTAGGACAAACACCCTTAGGAAAAAAGCCAGTGGGACATCTCACTCGTAGGACTTACTGTAATGGGACAAAAAACGAGTAGGAAAAAAGTATTAGGAAAACCTGATGTAGGAAAAAAAAAATTAGGAAAAATGACCTAGCACCGAATCTTGGCGCGTGTGAAAACGGCGTAACCAAAAAAAAAAAAATTTCCGCCGACCGTTTGAACTACACTTTGCAATAAGGAACTATAATT